AGTGCATCCATCTAATAAACTCTAGTTGAATTTCTACTTCCAGAGCTATGTAATAACTTTAGCTCTTTTATTAATACAACGGCACGACCATTTTCCTACGATTATATATATAGATATATATATATATATATATTTTTTTTTTTCTAGGGCAGCAAGTATGTATGTGTATTTATTGTTAAAAATTGGATTAAAATGCATTCAAAAATTGGATTAAAGTGCATTTAACACGAACCTTTAGTGGCTTTTCAGTAATTTAACAAAAAAGGTAACTTGCATGGAAACGCCCCACTAAAGAGTTTTTTGTTTTTATAAAAACCCCCCTAAGTTTGTTTATTTTCATCATGGTGTCTATTTAATTAAGATTTTTTAGGTATACTTTTTTATTTATTTATGTATACATTGTCAAGTTATTTATTTATTCTTAATAAAGAGATTAGTTAGACCTATAAAAAATTAGGTAAAAAATTAAAAAACTATATAATTTTAATAAAATATCAAAATATTCTATTCCTATTTTAAAAACATATTATTTTCATAATTTGTAATAGAAGTTTATTTTTTTAAAAAAAAACTTTATTTTGGGGCATTTTTCTATCTAATTTTTTTGCAGGTTAGGTGATAAACATTCTTTTCTTTGATAAATTTATATATTTTATATTAGGATAGGAGGATTAGGATCATTATTTCCTTTGGATAAAACCATACTTTTTTTTTAGGTAACTTTGGTATTTAGACCTACAACCTCACTAATCTCATGAGATTTGCAAACCACCTAATCTTCAAATTATGGGTAAACCTCTACTCTCAAAGGTAACAAATATAGCCCATTATAATTATTTGTACTCAAATAAAAACAGTGACACTTAAACTTATGTTCTCTAACAAAATTTTCATTCATCTTTACCACTTTGACGAACCCAATAGGTTGAAAACCATATACTTACTGATCAAAATAAAAATTACATTCAAAGAAGTAAATCAGTACCGAAATTCTATGTAATCCATGACGAATAAGCAGATCAAAGCAAACAAGCTACGCAGGAATCATGCGTCACACTTCATTAGTAATCGCACTTCCAAATATATCAAAGGATTTATGGCTTTCAGACCCAATTCAGGCAGGCAAGAAGGTGATGAGTACTAAGGCTTAGAGTATAGCACCTATATCTAAAACTTTTGATGAAACATCTGCAGGAGTTGCTTTAGCTTTTGATGTAATGTAAGTTATCTTGTACAATATGGGTAATGCCTCAAATGAGTTATCACGTTATACATGACATTATTATTATCATCATTATTTTTACCTATAATTGAATTCAAATTAGTTACGGAACTTATAGAGCAAAAAAAGTCAACTAAGAAGGCTCTCATTTTGATAAGAATGACAACGTTGATAATTAAATTTAAAGGATAATTCATGAAGATAAAAGGGGAAATTTTATTTAGCATAAAAAATAGAAAATAACAATTAATTTATTT